TTTTGCTGCCACTGAGTTGAACTCACCTACCTTCAGCTGAAACAATTGTCTGGGCCCTCTTTATTGTCAGTAGGAGTTATAGGTGATATTTAGGCTCAATTCATCTGACTTGTTTTAATCTCTGTCTTCAAATACTCTATCTTGAGGGTGAAATGTGACTTAAAAGTGTATTTGCTGTGATTATAGGGGCATTGGAGGTAAACAGCTTGTAGATGCCTACATTTGGACTGAGGAATTAAGCCTACTTGTCAGTTCTCCACTGTACAGCAACCTGTTTCTGTTAATAAAACTGTGGTGCAAAACTCCCGAGTCCGAATTAAAACAAGATAAAAGCTGAGCTGTGTTCAACACTGCCATCACTTCCCGACTCATGATATTCGAAGTTTCTCTTTTGCTTGCCCAGCCCAAGCCTGATTCCGAAATGCACTTCTTCCAAACATTTCCTGACAGTTATCTGTGGGTTAAAAGACCTGTCTTTATGGCACCTTCACTCCAAGAGAGCAGGCACCTGTGTGCTAGGGCATGCTGTGGATGTGATTCTATGCTAAGTAATTCCTGTGTAGCAGAGGGTATGATGGGTGCTGTCAGTCTCTAAGGTTGATCTCCCCCACTCATTCTCCTGAACTCATTCTTTGCAAACAAATAAAAACCCAACCCTTATTCCAGTACAGTGCTTGGGGTCAGCACAGGCAGGTGAATAATGTTGTTTGGCCAATGATTTAAATTCAGTAGCTATTTGTGCAATGAGTAAGGTAGTTTCACGTCAGCAGGTGAGTGCAGGGCATGCATTCACAGCGAGTTGCTCTTTTTAAAGTTAAAACAAGGTGCAAAAGTTTTGGTGTTGCTCTTTCTCTTTTTTTTGGAGTTGTTATGCTCTGCTTTTCTTTAAAAAAATAATGGATGGGGAGAAAATTGTATCATTTCTTCTAAATCTTTACTATCACAGAATAGTTGGAGTTGGAAGGGACCTTCAAAGCTCATCTGGTCCAACCCCCCTGCGATGAGCATAGACATACTCAGCTAGAACCACATCCAGCTTGTCCTTGAATGTCTCCAAGGATGGGGCATCCACCACCTGTCTGGGCAACCTGTGCCAGTGTTTTACCACCCTCATTGTAAATAGTAAATTTTGCTCACATCCAGCCTGAATCTCCCCTCTTTTAATCTAAAACCATCACCCCTCATCCTGTTGCAACAGGCTCTGCTTAAAAGTCTCTGCCTGTCTTTCTTATAGGCCCCTTTAAAGAACTGAAAGGCCACAATAAGGTCTCCCCAAAGTCTTCTTCAGGTTGAACAACCCCAACTCTCTCAGACTTTCTTCATAGGAGAGGTGCTTCACCCATTTGATCATTTTTGTGGCCCTCCTCTGAATCCTCTCCAACATGTCCATGTCTCTTTCCTGTACTGAGAACTTCAGAGCTGGGCTCAGTACTCCAGATAAGCTTCACATACCTTTGGGTTCTCCCTGCTGATGAAGGAGGCACCAGATCCCCTTGGTAGAGATGTTGAATCCTTCAGTTCTTTATCACTGTATTTTTGGAAGTTTGAAGTGACTAACCTAGGTTTTGCCTGCATAGAGCTCTCGGCTTTTTCATTTTAACGTTAGATTTTGAACATATAAAGCAACCTAACGAGAGAAGTATAAAAGGTTAAAGACTAATTCCTTTGGAAGTCTTAGTTTTATCAAACACAAACCTTAAGATTTACAGTTCAAAGCAAAAAATCGTGTGGAAGCTGACATTTTAGTCTGATCAGGAATGATATTTTGTCTGTAACCCCCAAAGTTTGCATTCAACACAACCAAGCTGGGATGTGTTTCCCCTGGTCCCCCAGTGGAAGAGTTCACTATTTCCGCAGCCTGGGTTATGACTGCTACGGAAGAAATGCTGCATTCCCTATTATGGCTCTGTTGACAGAGTACATTGAGGAATGATGTCCTGTATGATACTCCAAGTTTCCTACAAGGTGCTCCAAGATTGATAGGATTCTCTGTAGTGACAGCAGAGGACTTCAGATTTACAGCTCGGTGGGAGTTGTGTCTTCTCATTTCTGTAGCCTTCTGTGCATGTCCTCTAGTGTTTTATAGGAACTGGGGTTGCATCATCAGGCTAAGACTGTGGACTTAGAAATTATATATGAATCATAAAAAGAGATTGTAAACTAATGTACTTATAGAGGAAAACTACCTGCACACATGTGCTCACATGCTGGACAAAGGTCTGAATTCACTATGGAATTGCCTTACTAATCTGCCAGCTCAGCAGCTCTTGATAAATCAGGTTAAAACTAAATAAAGAAAAACGTTGGAACGCCCCTTAAGTAAAAAGGGGAGGATTGGAAAGAAACATTTTAGACCTAAAGGAAAAAAACCCACAAAGAAACCATTTTGCACAAGATTTGGAGAAATCATTAACTCTGGCTGTTTTCTCCCTTCTCCCCCCGCCTTCCCCAAAGTTGAAGTACAAATTGTCAGTGTTCCCTTCAAAGCTTTGCAGAAGTTCAGTGTGCATCAGGCAAGCTGGGGGAGCTTCTGTTCGTTCATGTACCAAGAATAGGGAATTTTGCTTTTGAATTCCATCCAGCAAAACCCCATCACAGAGCTTTATTGCTCTACTGTGATTTCCCTCGCCCCGTGCAAAGAAATAGGTGCACGCAGCACTCAAAAGAGCTGCCATGAATGTCTGAACTTCAAGTGGGGTCATTTATACAAGTGAGGGTATTACCATGTTTGTTATAACCAGGTGTTTCCTAAATATAGCTGACTTGCATCCCAGGGTCACATCTAGGTGGGAAGTCACCCAAAGCCCTGTGCTCTGAGGACTGTGCTTTGTCTGGAGACTTGTGGGAGTAGAAAACGTGGAGGAGGCCTGGAAGGGAGGAGGAGCAGAGGTGTAGTGTACTCCATCTGGTTATGAAATAGCTTAGGAATCTGGGATACCAGTGAGGCTCTGGGGTTAGTTGTCAGTGATGTCAGCTAATACTTTTGCCGGTTATGCCCTGTAGCTGCCTGCTGTACTTCTAATGCTTCAACTTCCAGCAAATTGCATTTCATTTTTTATGGTGTTTCTTTAAACAAGTAGAAAACTACACTGTGGGGTAAATTCCCTTCTTTAAAAGAGCTTGAATAACGTTAAAGTCACTTCCAACCCAACTTGTTCTGTGATTCTATGAACTACTGTAGGCTAATACTGTTAAATCAGGAAAGTGTGAAGAATTACTGTTAGGAGCTGCATCCAGTTGTTGCCCTGTCCATTGCATTCACGTGCCTGTAGCTGGTTCATCTAATTGCATGTCCCTGTGGCCAGATACTGCAGATGATTGTTCTTCTTCACTCCTCCACCTAATGTGTGCTACAGTGGGAAGGATGCTTTCTACTTATGTTGTCTGTATCTGGTTTACTTCCCTTTTGAACCTTAGATGTCCTTAATTACAGTGTGTGCAGTAACTCTTAGCTGCTGAGTGTTTGAATTTTTCTCCCCATTTGTGTTATAAGAGAGCAAAAAGATGTGTCTGTATCTGTGCAAATCAAGCAGAGGGATGCTGAATTTCTTGTTCCTCACCTCCATTGTGGACAGAGCTGTGCTAAGAAGATTCATGCTGGAATAGCTCTACTCTGGTGAAATGCAGTAAGATACCCAGGTGTTTGAGGTATCACAAGAGAATGGAACTGAACGGGTATGAAAGATTATACTGTAACATGTAAATATTTAGGAATTAATGCACAGGGTTGAACTGTACAGGCAAAGATGCAATTCTTTTGGCTTCTGCATTGCTTTGTACCATAACAAAGCCATAACAAGCATTTGACTACTTGGCACACAAATCAATAGCTTTGGCAAAGCCCTAGAATAGTCCATAGTGTCTGATGCCAAGTTATCTCCTCATCTCAGGCAAACTCAGTGTTTGAGCTGTGTGTTGTCTTTAGGTGTTACAGTTCTTGCTAGTGTGTGTTGGAGACATGAGGCTAGGAAGTTATAACTCCATGATCTTTGGACCTTCTGAACCATCAGATACCATATGCTTATACAAAATCAAACTTCTGCAGTAGCACTTGTACTCCACAAGTGCCATTTATTAATAATTCAGTGGCTTGGATTTTTCTCTTGTGCCCTCTATCTGTAGGTGTAGATGAGCAAACTAAAACCAGTTGTATTTAAGGTATATGCAAGAGCGCATTATTAATAATATTGCTATTAATAAGGAGAAATAATGCACAACTTTGGGTTAATGTCTCTTTCTGAATGCATCCCCTCTCTCAGCAGTACTTCTGACAGCAGTCTCTGCACTAGCAGAGGACCTTGGTTCTCAGTTCCTGGCTTTCTTTCCAGCTACTCGTATCTCCAGTGCACAAGCATCATTTCAGTTGCCAAACATGGGATTTGACCCAGAGCTCACACAAATTAGTGGGAAGCATTTCTGTTAATGTCCATAAAATTTGTGTCAGGCTGGTCCTTCAGAAGGGCTGTCCTGTTTGCCTTGCCTCCCACAAATAAACAGGGTGACCGTTGCCAGCAGCAGTGACAGCTCTTGTGCAGACCCAAGGCTTTTCCAAGAGGTGCACACACTCTGCTGGCTGATCCATCCTTTAGTTAAGAGGTTCTTCTGCCAGCTCTGTTACATCCACAGTGTTTGCTTTATGACATCTTTGTGCAGATATAGAAAGTAGGGGATTCCCTGTCACATATCGGAAGAGCCCATGCATATGGTTTTAAAGAGACAAAATTACTGGTATGCATGCTTTTCCATTGACAGAATACCATTAAATCAACTTACTTAATCTTAGGTACAGCTAGGTAAGCAGAGTTACAAATAAATGTAATTGTTACTGTTTCACTAGAACACAGAGCTAGCAATTCTCTGAATTCAATATGATTTTCAGCTGATGAGAAATTGTGGATAATTGTGGGTAACTGTGTTGTGGATAAGTGTTGGACAGTGCATTCCAATAATCATGTAGCGACAGGACAAGGGGCAATGGATTTAAAGTAAAACAGGGAAAGTTCAGGTTAGATATAAGGAAGTTCTTTCCTGTAAGGGTGGTGAGGCACTGGAATGGGTTGCCCAGGGAAGCTGTGAATGCTCCATCCCTGGAAGAGTTCAAGGCCAGGCTGGACAGAGCCTTGGGTGACATGGTTTAGTGTGAAGGGTCCCTGCCCATGGCAGGGGTTTGGAACTGGATGATCTGAAAGTTCTTTCCAGCCCAAACCATTCTATGATTCTATGTTTCGTATGCGGACTGTTCCATTCCTTGAATCTTAAAAGCCTTTGTATGGTAAAGGAACCAAGTTTATGATGTGAATGAAGTTCAGAGAGAGGTTAATAACTTTATAATCAGCTCTGGTTGGGAGATATGCAAATAGCATTTAAATATACAAAGTCGAGAGGAAAAATCCCATCATATTTTCAGGCTGCTGTTAGCAGGGCTTATTCCTTTACTTTTTTGATGAGGAACAGCTGTGGATTAGCACAGGGTAATCGGAGACAGTAGACAACCTGGTAGGGTCATTGTGCGCTGCTCCTTTGAAATGCTCAAGTTTATGGGGTGTCAGAGCAAGCTGGGTCATGAACCGACGGGGCTGAGTTACAACAATAGTTAGAATCACAAAGGGCCGGACCATCAGCTGGTTGAGATCAGCAGAGCTCTGCAGTGCAGATAAAGCCCTTTATTCCAGGTGGGGATTTGCCCCCAGAAGCTTTATCCTTATAGTTGCCAAATTCCCATCAGCACACAAATTTGATGTGGTCTTGGTTGTGTGCTGTTGGTGCTACATTCACCCCAAATGAGTATTTCTGTAATGGAAAGGTTTTAAGAGGTGACCATGTTGTACCATGACCTCATTTTTAGACATAAGCAAATACTGCTGGGTTTGTGCAGGTTGTGCTTTGATAAATGGCTTTTTGGATATTGCTTTTTTGATAAAGACAGTTTCCTTTTTTAATTGGCATCTGAAAAGTGAGCATTTTCCCTACTCCTCCACTTGTATGGCTTGACTTTTTTTCTCCCTCTGCCCAAGCTGGTTTTCCTCTTTGGCTTTTTTATCTACCTCAATTGAAAAAGAGCAATGAGTTAAAAAATAGGAGAGAAAAATGAAAACAAATGATGGAAGAAGAAAACCAGGAAAACATTTATAAGGGGAAGGAAGCAAAAGAATGAACTGAAATGCCAAAATAATCAGACTTAAAGAAATAGTAAAGTTTAACAAACCTGCCACGTAAAGCATTTTCTGATTTATTTTTCCCCATTAGTTCCTCTAATTCCAGCTTATTTTTTGCACAGAAAATATGAAACCTTGTCTGTCAGTGTAGGGTCCATTTCAGCGTTTTAGAAGTCTTTCTGCATTGCTAACTCTCTGCCCTGTCCCCTTGAGATTCAGTGTTTTGGGGGGTTGTTGGGTTTGTGTTTGTTCAGTTTGTGTGAAATACATCGCTAGAGCAGTATTAAACACCTCAGCTGAGCACTTTTGGAGGTAAACCAAGTTTATTTAGTGTTGTTGCCTCCTTGTGCCAGATTACAGACTGTAAGGTTCACTCCTCCAAGCTGTGAAGCAAGTTCAGGAACAAGTCCTGTTTGTTAACACAGGGCTTCTGCATTCATACAATCATAGAACTGGGTTAGGGTTGGAAAAGACCTTAAAGATCATCTAGTTGAACCCCCTACCACTTGTGTTTAGTTAGCGTGGTGTGATAGGAGGTTCACTGGTGAAAGAAAGTGCAAGTTCTGGGTCAGACTAGGTCCAAGTAAAGAGGACAAACCAAACAAGGAAATGATGACCAATCTTTTGAATGAGTTTATCAGCTTGTGGGAGTTAATTCAAAGTCTGTTCTGGGCAACACCAGCTAAAGGCGTTTTCCATGGGCGCCTTTTGGACACATCTGAACAGAGTGGTCCTTTCTTTCATGGAAAATTCAGCCTGGAGAAGAGAAGCCGCATGAAGACCTCAGAGCAGCTTCCAGTATCTGAAGGGCGCCTATGAGGATGCTGGAGAGGGACTCTTCATCAGGGACTGTAGTGATAAGACAAGGGGTAATGGGTTAAAACTGAAACAGGGGATGTTCAGGTTAGATATAAGGAAGAAGTTCTTTACTGTAAGGGTGGTGAGGCACTGGAACAGGCTGCCCAAAGAAGTGGTGAATGCTCCATCCCTGGCAGTGTTCAAGGCTGGGTTGGGCAGCGCCTTGGGTGACATGATTTAGTGTGAGGTGTCCCTGCCCATGGCAGGGGGGTTGAAACTGAATGATCTTAAGGTCCTTTCCAACCCAAACCATTCTGTGATTCTATGAAAACTGGCCATTTGGGAAGAGGTATTTGTAGCAGTTGAGTAAAGATTTGGCAAAGCCTTCTCCAGCATCACCTGTTGTAACCTTCAGGAAACATATCCAAAGCTGAGCTTCCCATACACTGCTTCAGATCATGTTCTGATAAAGAAAGTCTGAATTACAGCTTGTTAATGTTAAAAACTGGTAACTTTTTCTTGCATGCATATTGTGTGGGGTTGTTATTTCTCAGTTAGCCATAGGAGATTTTACTCTTAAAACCACAAAAAGAACTGAAATCATCCCACCTAGTATTACCAGTGATTTAGGATAATATGCTAATTGAAACATCACTATTGTCTTCTACAACTACTACTATAGTTTGCTTATTATTGTATTGCTATTGCAAAACTTATAGCTTATGCAACTGATGTCAGTGGAGCTACGTTAATTTATGTCAGCTGCTCTGATAGTTTTGCTTATGATTTTTGCCTTGGCAAAGCATGTATATAATATTGTTTTTCCCAGAAGATTGGCTGTATTATTCTAACAGTCATTATTGACTAATACTGGGGTTAGCCAAGTAGGACTGAGATTCTTTCAGTAGTGGAAACATCGATCATTAGGGTGAAACAGAATGCATTTTGCTGAAAGAAAAGCTACTTCTGTTTATTTGTAAGGCATAAACATCCCGTAGGTCTGTTCAGAGTTATAACTGTGCAAATCCATTATAGCTGAGTGGAGCCTCAAGCCCATTATTTTTCAGTGAGTGATATTCACCTGCTTGCTTAAATGATGCCAGGTGGACAGAACCAGCTTTTATAACAAACCTAAACTCCTCATAAACAGAGCTTTAACTTCCACTCTTCTTTGATTTTGTGCTGCAGGTTTTGAGAAGGCTGGGGATGTCTGTACCTTTGTGGTGAGGCGTAAGAGCAGGTGAAGGGAAACATTTGTCCTTATCCTCACTGTGTTGAATAGATTTGCCTATTCGTGACAACAGACATCATCTGAGGGGGAATTAAATTAGGCTATTATTTTGAAACATTAACACTTTCTAAAACTACAGGCCTATAGGGATGCTGGGGATGGACTCTTCATTAGGGACTGTAGTGGTAGGACAAGGGGTAATGGGTTAAAACTTAAACAGGGGAAGTTTAGATTGGATATAAGGAGGAAATTCTTTCCTGTTAGGGTGGTGAGGCACTGGAATGGGTTGCCCAGGGAGGTTGTGAATGCTCCATCCCTGGCAGTGTTCAAGACCAGGTTGGACGAAGCCTTGGGTGAGATGGTTTAGTGTGAGGTGTCCCTGCCCATGGCAGGGGGGTTGGAACTGGATGATCTTAAGGTCCTTTCCAGCCCTAACTATTCTATGATTCTATGAACTTGAAACTCAAAGCCTGGAAGCCTGTTTTGCAAACAAGTGGCCTTCATTTCAACAGGTGTAATTACCCTCTGTGCAATGCTCATTTGCACCAGTTTGATCACATAACATGCAAGCTGATATGGATTTGGCCATGGTGTAGTAAAGTAGGATCTACAGCAGGTAAGAAACCTGGATGGTAAATGGAAGCAAGATTTGCCATGATGTGAGTGGAGTCTTGGGTGACACAGATTGGAATTTGATGATATTAAGGTCCTTTCCGACCTAACTATTCTGTGATTCTATGATGGAGAAGAAATGGGTATTGGGTAGGAAAAGCCAAAGAAGGAGAGGTTGTGTCAGGTATAGAAGACCTCAATTCTTGGGTATTGGTGTTAGACCTGTCTCCTCTATTCATGTGGGGGTACAGAGCAACAAGAGAAGGTGATTACTGGAATTTCTGTCCCTGTTGCTATTTCAGAACAGCATCTGGCTTAAGGCTGGTCTCAGTATTATTGATGTTGCAGTGTGTAAGTCTGCCTTGTTCTTTAAAGTGCCAGATACTGAGCTCACAGTAAGGGCTGCAACTGTTTTGTACAGAAATCTCAACTCACCCAAAACAATGAGACTCCGGAGAAAGAACTGCAGCAATCCTTCCTGGCTGCGACAGAAACAGGTCCAGCCATTTCCAGGTCTGCAGAAGCCTGGCAGGATTAAATGTTATCGAGAGTCCTAAAAAGGCAGCAAGCTGGTTCAGTGCATCCTAGTACCAGGCTAATGAACGTAAGGTTGTGGTTCCAAGGTAAACTCACAGGTTTCTTACAGATGTGCAAACAGGTAGGTAGTGTCCTCTCCAGAAATCTCAAGCAATGAGGTTTGTGTTAAGTGATGTTTTATCTGCCTTCTGAGCCAGTATTTGTGCATCTGACCTTTGCTCTCTGTTTAAAAATCAAATGGAAAATCAAACTGTAATTGTCCAGTCAATGCATTTGTGTGAAGGTCACCCATTCATGCCCAGAAAGCTCTCCAATTATGATCCTATAGGATCCAGGTTTTGGCAGATTCCATATGGCTAGAGCTCTATTTTTCAATGTGCTTTCATTCTTTTAATCTCTGATGAATTCCTAAATACTGGATGTGCTTTTTCCTTCTATAACCTGGCCAGTGTCTTCAGATGACATTAAGCAATATAACCCGGTGTAAGCAGTGAACAGCAGAAGTGAAATGAAGAGCCAGGTGTCTCAGACATCATTCCTTGGTAGGCTAATAGCTTTTCAGTTCCTCATGACATATCCACAAACTAGGCTATTTCACAGGGAAAACTTAGTGCTGGTATAAAAGACAAATCGTCATCTGCCCTAGCTGGTGTTCCGTTGTACTCTGCCATTGTGGATGAGGTAAATGGGATCTGCTGCTGCTGGGAAAACCTGGCAGCTGCTCCTCTGAA